GTGTCTCCGCGTCGCTGTGCTTCTTTTCTCGTCGGTGGTTTGGCCGCTGCCCTGCGGGGTGTATCTCCAGTTGACTCGATACGGTGAGAGTTCAGGTGTATAGGCAGCTCGTAGCGCATGCATGCATGCATGCATGCGTGCATGCATGCATGCGTGCATGCGATATTTAGGGTGTATATGCAGCTCATATCGCATGCGTGCATGCATGCATGCATGCATGAATGCGATGTTTGGGGTGTATAGGTAGCTCATATCGCATGCATGCATGCATGCATGCATGCATGTGATATGAGTGTTGGGGTGTATAGGCAGCTCATATCGCATGCATGCATGCATTGTATATTTTCTTTTATTTATTTTTTTTTATTTTATTTTTTTGTGTATACTCCTTGCAGCGCGAAGGACTTGGCCCCGGCTCTGCTTAAAGCAGATAGAGGGGAGCTAACAAACAAAGTAAGGGTTTAGGGTTTAGGGTTTAGGGTTTGGGGTTTAGGGTTTAGGGTTTGGGGGAGGGCTTTCAGGCGCAGCGCGATGCATCCCCTACTTGCTAGGGTTTTAGGGTTTAGGGTTTAGGGTTTAGGGTTTAGGGTTTGGCTGCAGGCGCTGCGCCTGTACGTCGCTGCGCTCGCCCGAGGGGACCCCAATGCGAAGACACTGCTGGCTGACGATGTACAAACCCTAAACCCTAAACCCTAAACCCTAGAAGCTGCTAAACCCTAGAACCTAAACACTCCTAAACCCTAAACCCTAAATACTCCTTCTTACTGCATGATGAGAGATACAGCCTGCACAGCCTTAGGCTTGAATCCTAGGGTTTAGGGTTTAGGATTAGGGTTTAGGATTTAGGGTTTAGGGTTTAGGGTTTGGGGTTTAGGGTTTAGGGTTTGGGTGCGCAGGGGTCACAAGAGGAGACAGAGAGAAAGGCTGCAGAGGACTTGCAGCAGCTGTTGAAACAAAAACAAAAGTAAACCCTAAACCCTAAACCCTAAACCCTAAACCCTTTGTGTGGAGTACTGGGGGGAGGGAGATGTGCGGTTTCGTTCTTGTTTACGATTCAGGGTCTAGGGTTTAGGGTTTAGGGTTTAGGGTTTAGGGTTTGTTCGCAGGCAGCAGCCGGGGGCGCTGCTTGGCGCTCTGCTGTCGATACACCCCAACCTCTCTCCTTCACGCGCACGGGGGCTCGTGGAGGAGGCGCTGGCTAGCCACAGCTAGCCAGCTAGCTAGCTAGCTAGCTAGCTAGCTAGCTAGCTGGCTAGATAGCCAGCTAGCTAGCTAGCTACGCTGGCGCTGGCTAGCTAGCTGCATGCAGACACACAGCTAGCTACAGCTAGCTGTGTGTCTAGCTAGCTACAGCTAGCTGCAGCTAGCTAGCTAAATAAATATGCTAGCTAGCTGTGCACGCACAGCTAGCTAGCTACCGTTAACTAGGGAACTGGGGGCCTGTGGCTAGCTGCAGCAAGCAGCAGCTAGCTGCTGCTGCTGCTGCTGCTGCTGCTGCTGTCAGATCCTGTGGCTAGCTGCAGCAGGCAGCAGCTAGCTNGCTGCTGCTGCTGCTGCTGCTGCTGCTGCTGTCAGATCCTGTGGCTAGCTGCAGCAGGCAGCAGCTAGCTGCTGCTGCTGCGCAGTGCTTCTCGCTGCAGCAGCCACGAGCTGCAGCAGCTGCAGCAGCTGCAGCAGCTAGCGGCCTGCTTTCCTCTCCTTTCGCGCTACCCGCTGCTTCTCCTTTTCCATCTTCTGCTGCTGCAGCAGCTGCTGCTGCTTGTTGCGCTGCACTTCCCTGCAGCAGCAGCAGCAGCAAAAGCAGCAGCAGCAGCAGCAGCAACAGCAAGAGCACACATATGCGGGGTTTAAAGAAACCCTAATCCCCAAAAGTAACGATGCACTCGGCTTCAGGGTTTAGCGAGGGTTTAGGGTTTAGCAAGGGTTTAGCAAGGGTTTAGCAAGGGTTTAGGGTTTAGGGTTTAGGGTTTAGGGTTTGGCTGACATCTCGTGGTCTGCCTTTGCCTTGGCGCGAGCCGCCTGAGACGCTTGAGCAACCTGCGGAGAACGGGGTGTATACGCAGCACAACAAAACCCTAAACTAGGGTTTAGGGTTTAGGGTTTAGGGTCTAGGGTTTAGGGTTTAGCGTCTAGGGTTTAGGGTTTAGGGTCTAGGGTTTAGGGTTTAGGGTTTAGGGTTTAGGGTTTGCGGTACTCGTGCTCTGTTGTCGTTGCTCCAAATGCCCATATCGTAGCCTTCTTTCTTGCTGCTGCTGCTGCTGCTGCTGCTGCTGCTGCTGCTGCTCTGCTGCAGCTGCAGCTTTCCCTCTTCGTCACACTCAACCGTCTCGTCGATTTCATACCCGTACTGCTGCACCACACGCTGCAGCAGCAGCAGCAGCAGCAACAGCAGCAGCAGCAACAGCAGCAGCAGCAGCAGCAGCAGCAACAGCANGCAGCAGCAGCAGCAGCAGCAACAGCAGCAGCAGCAACAGCAGCAGCAGCAGCAGCAGCAGCAACAGCAGAAGCAGCAAGGCGGCGAAAGAAACACAATGGAAGCAGTTCATGCGATAGCAGCAGCTGCTGCAGTAGCAGCAGCGACACAGCTGCAGCAGCAGCAACAGCAACAGCAGCAGCAGCAGCAGCAGCGGCAGCAACAGCAGCAGCAGCAACAGCAGCAGCAGCAGCAGCAGCCGCAGCAGTGCATGCATTACCTCTCGAATACGCCTTGCTATCTCATCCTCAGGCCCCCCGTGTGGTAGTGCTGCTGCTGCTGCTGCTGTTGCTGCTGCTGCTGCTGCTGGTGCTGCTGCTGCGGTGCTTTTACATAAGACAGCCTCGAACGTCTGCTGCCGCTGCTGCTGCTGCTGCTGCGCTGCAGCAGGCAGCACAACGTCAACCCACTTAGCTGCGCATTG